TTAGACCAGGGGTCCTCAAACTTTTTAAATAGGGGGCCAGTTCACTGTCCCTCAGACCGTTGGAGGGCCGGACTGCAGGCCCCGGGACAAGTCGGCTGCTAAACAGGACAGGCAGTGGCGGCAAAAACACCCAGCGGACCAGATAATGTCCTTGGCAGACCCCACGTGGCCCATCGGCCGTAGTTTGAGGACACCTGATTTAGACTGTGCCCAGTGATAAAATTGAACTTTTGTGTTGATGGCTTGAGTTGGAATTACACACTCAAATTGTTCTTCTGTCTTTTTGTATTGTGTTATTCAAACCACCTTTCCCTTATCTTCCCCTTCACAAACACACTGACTATCCTCCCCAAAGCCAAAGATACATATGAAACTCAAATCAATAAACTAATAAGTAAAAAAAGTACTCTCATTTACTTTTTTTTTTGAGACAGAGCCTCAAGCTGTCCCCCTGGGTAGAATGCCATGGCATCACAGCTCAGAGCAACCTCCAACTCCTGGGCTCAAGCAAGTCTCCTGCCTCAGCCTCCCAAGTTGCTAGTATCACAGGCGCCCGCCACAACGCCTGGCTATTTTTTTTCGGTTGCAGCCATCATTGTTTGGAGGGCCTGGGCTGGATTCGAATCCGCCACCTTAGGTGTATGTGGCTGGCGCCTTAGCCACTTGAGCCACAGGTGCCGAGCCATCATTTACTTTTTCTGATCTGGGCAAATATCATGTTTCCCTGCCCTGATTTTATCTTTAGCAAAGTAGGAATAATTATCCATGCTACATCTTTCTTCATAATGTTATTGTGAGAATTAGTGCATACATAAAATATACTTTAGGCTCAGGTTAAATAGATGTTATATGAATGCTAATAGATTTATCATAAGTTTCATAAATGTTTACTCTTCAAGAAGACATTTCAAATTACATGAGGCATTGGTTTAGATCACATCTTTACTCCTGTGCCTTTAATTACATGGACTTGTTTTGACCATTGATCACAAAATCCTAATCAAGTTTACCTCAGTGTCATTGCACCGCAAAAAGAATCTCTTGTAGGGGACTTTTGACAGGAAAAGTGCAAGAATAAGAAGTGAACTAGTTCAGAGTTTGTTTGCTACTGACTTATTATTTACAATGGAAGCCAGTTGAGATTGTTGAAAAAAAATCACAGAAGAAAGAAAAAAAATTTCAGGTGAAAAAGTTGTGAATTGAGCTTAATGGATTGGACTAAGGTTTTTTCCAATTCTTAAATCTGTGATTGCAATACGAAGATGTGTTTTCTCTTCTTTTTCCTAATGTTTGTTATCCATGTATAAAAGGTGGTATAAACTGTCTTCTACGTGGGAGTGATTTGTTCTCAAATTGCACAATGTCTGTCTATTGTTACTCCATTTGACAGGGCCCATCCAAGGCCAAATGATGGCTGTAATCCTTAGTGCCATTCCTTAGTTTTTTGTGGCTGTTTTTTCTTATGCCCCATTGGCTTGTCATACTTCAGTGTTTTGGTCCTATCTACCTCTTCATGAAATATGCATGTTACATACATTTAGAAGGGACCTTGGAAATGTGCAAAGAGCCTGAGAGAGTTGTCCAGAGATCACTCTGAACTACTCCTTCCCCTATACCACGTGTTTCCTCCTCCTCTGGGTTATTTTCTAGAATCTTTTTCAGTGAAATGATAACCCTAGTTCAAGTGTTTAGAAGCATATTTTTCTAAGCATACAAAAGGGGGGTGAGTAAGTCAGCATCCTTATCTAAGGATGAATTGCTATTTTCCTTATTATAAGAGGGCAAATCTTTGGGACTCAGTCCAACTTTTTTTTGTTTGTTTTTTGTTTTATTTTTTGAGATAGTCTCACTATGTTGCTCTTGGTAGAGTGCTATGGCATCACAGCTCACAGCAACCTCAAACTCATAGGCTTAAGCGATTCTCTTAGCCTCCCAAGTAGCTGGGACTATAGGCACCCACCACAATGCCTGGCTATTATTTTTGTTGCAGTTATCATTGTTGTTTAGCTGGCCCAGGCCAGGTTCAAACCCGCCAGCCTGGTGTATGTGGCTGGCACCGTAAACACTGTGCTACAGGCACCGAGCCAGTCCAAGGGTCTTGATCAGGAGTTTAAGACAAAAAACTGAGGCTTCACCATTAATTCTCTTGACTTCCCAACCCCATAGCTACGGTTTACCTCTTTTTACCTCTTTTTGGTTTGGCTCTTCCAGTCTCTTGCTGCTATGCACCTTCTTTGGTCCTATGCACCCTCTTTGTTCATATGCACCCTCTGCTTTTGCATGCTGCTCCTGCAGTTAACTCCTTCTCTGTTTGCAGCTCTCCTTCTTTACAGGCTGCTGCCACCCCCATGCTCGCTCAAGTTTCTTTAGCATCAAAACAAAACCGATACCCTGTCCTCAATCCTGTGTGCTTTCCTTACAGTCTTGGATCTCGCTTTCCCCCTGAGGTGGGTTCTTTACACACCTGCAGTTTATACTCTCTACCTTCTCTGTTCATTGCAGTCAGGTTTCTGCCCTCAAGCATTCCATGGAAACCACACTGATAAAGTTCACCAGGGAAAGTTGACCTAAGACCACATCTAGCACCCTGTGTAAAGTCTTCAGTTTACTTTGTATCTGTTCAGATTGTGAAGTTTTATCTCCTCCTTCCTTTAAACCCTCTTCTCACTTTGTTTCTGAGTTTCTCATTTTTCTCTGCCCTGAGGCACTGTTCCCATAGTCTGTATTTAGACCATCAGGTGCAGCCATAAGAGGAGACACAGGTGAGGCTCAGAAATACCAAGTTTATTATACTCAGGTCCTGGAGACAGAAGGTACAACGCACCACACAGAACCACGTGGGAAACACACGGGCGGTCAGGAGGCAGAAGACAGGTGTCAGGGCATTAGTCCAGAGCCTTGATTGCAGTAGTTCTCAACCTTCCTAATGCTGCTACCCTTTAATACAGTTCGTGTGGGTCACAACCCACAGATTGAGAATCACTGCTTTATTGGGATTTCCTCTGGGGAAAGGCAGGCAGGGCAGGGTGAACAATTTAGGATTGGCTAGTTTGTATAATTTCAGAGGACTTGAAACTACAGGGGTGCCCCTAGTTGCCCTGGATGATTGAGACAGCAATCTTATCTCCTAGGGTGTACCAGGAGACAATAGGGGCCAGGTAGAGGACTGTCTCTTGATCTGTCAGCTTATATATCAAAGGCATGCACCTGGCTGGGCCTTTTGTTATCTCTAAGAGTCTTTGCCTCATCAGAAAGGTTTTTTAGACATCAAAACATCATAATATACAGAAAGTTAAATGTATATTTATGTAAGTATGTATACATAAATATATGCAATATACTTCTCTGTTTCTGTCTCTTTGGCTGACTTCTCATTCTTCTGTTTACCCCTTAAAAGGTGATGTCCCAGCTCAGCGTCTATGGCTCAAGTGGCTAAGGTGCCAGCCACGTATATCTGAGCTGGCGGGTTCAAATCCAGCCTGGGCCCACCAAACAACAATGATGGCTGCAACAAAAAATAGCCCATGTTGTGGTAGGTGCCTGTAGTCCCAGCTACTTGGGAAGCAGAGGCAGGAGAATCGCTTGAGCCCAGGAGTTGGAGGTTGCTATGAGCTGTGATGCCAGGCATTCTTCCCAGGGTGACAACTTGAGGCTCTGTCTCAAAAAAAAAAAAAGTGATATCCCCATGACCCTGTCTGTCCTCTCGTTGTGTTTCCTGTGCAGCTGTCTCTTTTGTGGCTTCACCTTCCATTTCTGTGCTGATGACTCAACATTGGTATCTCTAGCCATTATCACATCTGTGCTCTAGACTCACACATATTCCTGCATGCTAGAAATTTCCATCTGGATACCCAACAGGCATTTGCAGCATGTATCTAAATGTGAGTCCATCTGTCTTACCGAATCTGTTTATTTGCCTCTATTTCCATTTTCAAAAAATGCTGCCTCCCATTTACTGACTTCTTGACTTCTCTTACTCCATACACCCAGTCCCTCCCCAAGTCCTGTGGACCTCAGCTTCCCATCCTCTCTTCTGTTTATCCATTCCCCTTCTTCCTTTCATGTCATTCTCTGAGTTCTGTACCTTATCACTTCTCACATAAACCACGGTGATAGCCTGTGTCCAACCTTGCTTCTCTCAGAACTTGCTCTGCCCCACTCATGGAGTAGGTGAGCAGGGAGGAGAAGGATGAAATACACAGAAAAGAACTGATAATAACATAACCAATTCCTGTGTATCAGCCAGCTCACAGTAGGTTCTTTCTAAAATACAAACTAGATTATATTTAGTTGTTGATCCATCCACCTTTTAGTGATTCCTAAGTGGAATTCCTTCCAGGATAGTTGAGGCTTCTTAGATGGAATGCACAGCCCATTAATATTTAGCTATGTTCTATCTGTTCAGTCTCATCTCCTCCCATTCTCCCTAAATGAACCAGATGCATACCCACGTCAGACTGTTTAAAGTTCTTGGAAGATGTCATGCTGTGCTGTACATATGCTGTCTCTTCTATTTGCAGAGCCCTCCCCATTGTTGTTTACCTGGTAATGCTCAGCCTGTTACATCATCTTCAGCTGGTCTTCTGTAGTACACCTACCATTTGTCCCTACCTCCAAGTAGAACTGATTATTTCTTCCTTTATATCTTTTGCGTATCTAGTCTGTGTATGCATTTATCATAATGAATTGTAGTTTGTTGACATCTACTGAAATCATAATCTCCTTGAGGGTAAGCCTGTATCTTTCATATATTTAGCAATTACTATAGAGTTTGGCAGCTAACAGAGTGGGTGTTTCATTCATGTTTATTGATCTGGTCCCTGCCTTTCTGACTTGTTTAATAGTTGACTAATCTTTTCCCACTTACTTCTCAGTAAATGTTCAACCATATATAAAGACTCAGTCAATCTCCTGTGCATAATATATTTGTTCCCTGGATACCCATTTATCAATAAGCATTCACATTATTTAATCTGTTTTGATGTCCATTTTCCCTGCAGGAGTCCAAGGGACCACATGTGATGTCTCTGTACCTCCAGCATCTATCACTGGGGCTGAGATGCATATTAGGCAGTGAGGTGACATTTGTGAACATATGAACATGGACTCAGAGTTGCTAATTTCTAAGGTCTCCGCCAAGTCCAAAACTGTATGTATGATTGTGGGTTCTGAAAATTGTGACATAATCTAGAAGTTTTCTCTGAGCAGATGGTCAGAAAAGTTAAAGCACCAATTTAACAGTTGGCAAATTTAAAGGTAAACATTTAAGAAAGTGAATCAAAATGAAGGTGAATCCTCCAAAAGGGTTGGGAGCATTAGCAAAATTGTGTGTAAGTAGTCCCAGGATCCTTCTTTGCACTTGTGCTGTGTTCCACATGTTCTCTCCAATAAACACATGTGCCTTCAGAATTTCCAAAAAGGTGTTTAATCACTTCCCTATGACTAAGCCCCCACTGGTAAAAAATGTGCTCCAAGTACATTATTTCTCTCCAGAAAAATTACTTTTTTTTTTTTGAGGCAGAGCCTCAAGCTGTCCCCCTGGGTAGAGTGCCGTGGCATCTCAGCTCACAGCAACCTCCAACGCCTGGGCTCAAGCAAGTCTCCTGCCTCTGCCTCCCAAGTAGCTAGGACCACAGGTGCCCGCCACAACGCCAGGCTATTTTTTGGTTGCAGCCGTCGTTGTTGGGCAGGCCCAGGCTGGATTCGAACCCACCACCTAAGGTATATGTGGCTGGTGCCTTAGCCACTTGAGCCACAGGCGCTGAGCTGAAAAATTACTTTTGTTTCCTTTAGCATTTCACTTTAACTTGTTAATTTTTAACTAAACACAAAGTAATTTATTCAATATTTTATTTCTCTTCATGTAGAGCTCTAAGAAAAAAACCGTAGAATCTTAAGGATTGTTTTGCTGCAAACACTTTTTTTACTTTTGCTGTATAGTATATATATATTTTTTTCAGACTAGGATTTTTTTTTTTTTGAGACAGAGCCTCAAGCTGTCCCCCTGGGTAGAGTGCTGTGGCATCACAGCTCACAGCAACTTCCAACTCCTGGGCTGAAGAGAGTCTCCTGCCTCAGCCTCCCAAGTAGCTGGGACCACAGGCACCCGCCACAACGCCCGCCTATTTTTTGGTTGCAGCCGTCATTGTTTTTTGGTGAGCCCAGGCTGGATTCGAACCTACCACTTTAGGTGTATGTGGCTGGTGCCTTAGCCACTTGAGCCACAGGCGCCGAGCCTCAGACTAGGTTTTGGTCTGTTGCCCCACCTGGAATGCACCGGCATCACTGTAACCTCAAACTACTAGGCTTAAGCAATCTTCCTGCCTCAGCCTCCCAAGTAGTGGGACTATAAGCCTGTGCCACCACACTAGCTAATTATTGTATTTTTTGTAGAAATGAGGTCTTGCTATTGTCCAGCCTGGTCTTGAACTCCTGGTGTCAAGTGATCCTCCTACCTTGACCTTCGAAAGTGCTGGGATTACAGGTGTAGGCCACCATGCCTGGCCCCACTATATTTCTAGGATTAGTGTTAGATGAGTGGACAGAATTAAAAAAAAAAAGTGGGACACAGGGCAACGCCTATGGCTCAAAGGAGTAGGGCACCGGCCCCATATACCAGAGGTGGCGGGTTCAAACCTGGCCCCAGCCAAAAAATGGCAAAAAAAAAAAAAAAAAGTGGGATACAAATCCTAAAATCTAACTGAAGAGTGAACCAGAAGAAACTTATGATGCAACATATACATTATATAAAATAGTGCATTTTAACCTGAGGGAGTGCCAGAAAAGGCCATTCCAACTGTGTACATGTATAGAGAGACTCAGGGTAAAGGAAAAATTAGAAGAAAGTGAAATTAACTCGGAGAAATTTATTGAAGAAAGTGATTCTGCAACAGGCATGTACACAGAGCACAGGTGCATACAAAATGTAGATTGTCAAAAGTGAGAGCCTGTGAGGAATGTGGATTCTGGGTGTGGGGGATGGAAACTGGATGTTCTTCCGTTGAATACTCTTCAGAGAAAGACTCCAAGGCTGCTCCATTTCTCTTCTTTGCCAGTCCCATCCCAAGTCCCCTCAGGGAGCCCCTGTTTGATTGCACCGCACTCGTATTTGGACCCCTGTGAGCTGTGCTCCTCACTCTCCTCTTCAGAGGAGAGCATTTTCCAGTTAGCAGTGGTTCTTAACCTTCCTAATGCCGCGGCCCTTTAATTCAATTCCTGTGGGTCTTGACCCACAGGCTGAGAAACGCTGAGTTAGACATTGCTGAGTGTTGATTCTGTTTTCCCCCTGGCAGGTCAGAATCTCCCTCTTCTGTAGGTAGGTGGAGAACTTTAACATTTGCAGGGAAAAGGCATCGTGTGACTTTGGCCAGGACACTTCCTTGCAGCTCAGTTTCCTGATTTCTAAAATGAGGTTATGATGATTATTTTCTATAGCATAGATTGTAAGCACAAACAAATGTTAGCTCCTCTTTTCCAAACCAAATTAAGACACTCTGACTTAGCTGCTTTGAATAGGAAGAGATTCTGGTCTAAACATCTTGTCACTGAACTGTGCAAGCGGCTGTGTTGAAATGTCAACATGCCAGGCCCTGGGCAGAGCTTTGTATCTGTACACGTATTTTCACATTTTATCCTCACAACCCACCTAGGTTATCATCCCTCTTTTACAAATGAGGCTTAGGGATGATAGGTAACTTGCTCTGCCTTCCCAGTAGCTTCTGTCCATCTCTTCTCAGCATTTGTGTGTGTGTGCTTGCCTCTCTCACTGACACACCTGGTTCAGAGTTCTTGAGAAGGGACAGAAATCACTGGTGTTACAGACAAGAACCACAGCCCAGTGCCCCTTGAAAGGTCAGGACAACCCACAGGAGCAGCACATAAGCTTCCTCCGCCCCTATCCCTCCCCACCTGAGTTTAATTACCTGAACCTGTAGCATGATCCAGTGCCCAAGCCTCAGCTGAAAACATCCAGAAATCTAGAGTTGCTTGTTATCAGGGTTGGTCATGGTGGATTACGCCTGTAATCCTAGCCTTCTGGGAGGCTTAGGTAGATGAAAAGCTTGAGGTCATGAGTTCGAGACCAACTCCAGCAAAAAGGGAGACCCTGTCTCTACTAAAAATAGAAAAACTGAAGCAAGAGGATTGCTTGAGCTGAAGTTGATGCCATGGCACTTTACCCAGGGCAATAATTTGAGACTCTGTCTGAAAAAAAAAAAAAAAAAAAAGAATTGGCTTTTTTTAACCAAGCACATGATGTTCTCAGTAAACCAGATGCCAGTTTATTAATTTACAAAGGAGAAGTACACCTTCCCTTTGAACGGACTATTTCCTTCCCTTCAGTGACCCAGGGAGCCCCTATTCTCATACCTGGGCATCCAAGTGCTACTTGGGGCCATGCACTCTGGCTGTCCACATTTGCATCCCCAGTACAGGCTCTGGAACTCAGTTGGTGATCAATAAATATTTGCAAAGGGAAGTGAATTTTGACAGAGATAGGACTTGTTTATTTGGGGCCATTTTTAGGCAACAGGAGCTGGAGAGATTTTTTACCCAAATATTAGGTTAGTTAAAGGCTGCTTCTGAGCCCCAAGATCTACATAAATACTGCATGGCAAGATTGGTGAAGAGGCCATTTTTTTTTTTAAACATGGCTAATTTCATTATAAAGGAATTTCATCTCAGAGATTTACCTAGCAGGATCATACTTGACTTCATCATGTGAGTTCTCTTTTCCTTTACATTTGAAATGAATGCTATAAAGGATTCTATTATGCTACAAGTAATAATAGCACACACACCGATGACTGTCCACTGCGTGGCCTGAAATAGATTCTTCAGTAAAAGAACAATGCTGTCATTTACCAAGTTGAATGGAAAGCAAGGATCTGAACTGAAGATAAAATAAAGAATCATGAGTCAGTGGAGTCTAATTTAGCTTTGATGGCACATTATTAGGTCCATTTTTAGGGAAAATTATATTGTTTGGGAAGGAAGTATCCTATCCATTTGTCAGAGCCCTGGTGATAAGATCACTTGTGATAAAAGACTGCTTCTCAGGCCCCACAAAATAGGCCTCCCCTTTCCTTGGGCCCTCTCAAATCATCTGCTGATCTAGATACTTCTCTAACAGTCCTCAAACAGTCTGCAACTTTGTCCTCCTCCTGCCACAGGTCCGAGGAGCCCTTACTCAGAATTCTTGGCTGCTGTGACGTCACTCTCTGGGTCAGTGTGTCCAGGTCTCTGCCTGTGGCCTCTCCCTCCACATGCTCTTCAAGTGCAGCTGTGTCTATGGCTGAGGCTTCACCCAGTACCTGGTGCTGCAGCCCTTGCCCCTCAATTGCAGTGTACAACCCTCACAGTGCTTCACAGTGGTATATTGTGTGTGATGACCCTCTCCCATCCCATCCAACACCCTAGGTCTCTTTGTCCTGCCATGTTCAGGTCAGTTTAACATATATTGTGTGCATGTGGCAGGCATCTTCTGTAAGATACAAAGGTTCTGGCTCGGTGCCTGTGACTTAAGCGGCTAAGGCTCCAGCCACATACACCTAAGGTGGCGGGTTCGAAGCCAGCCCAGACCCGCCAAACAACAATGATGGTTGCAACCAAAAAATAGCCGGGCGTTGTGGCGGGCGCCTATGGTCCCAACTACTTGGAAGGCTGAGGCAGTAGACTCGCTTGAGCCCTGGAGTTGGAGGTTCCTGTGAGCAGTGAAACCATGGCACTCTACCTAGGGGGACAGCTTGAGGCTCTGTCTCAAAAAAAAAAAAAGATACAAAGGTTCTATTTTATAACATTCAAGTGAATGTTCCTCTATTTAATTTGCAGGAGTTTTATTTTTACTCTCCAGTAATTACTGGAATCCCTAAAGTCTGTATTTTAATTTTATTTTTATTTATTTATTTTCTTTCTGAGACAGAGTCTCATTGTGTTGCCCTTGGTAGAGTGCCGTGGTGTCACAGCTCACAGCAACCTTGAACTCTTGGGCTCAAGAGATTCTCTTGCCTCAGCCTCCCAAGTAGCTGCGCCTACAGGTGCCCGCCACAATGCGTGGCTATTTTTTGTTGCAGTTGACATTGTTGTTTAGCTGACCTGGGCCAGGCTTGAACCCGCCACCCACGGTATGTGTGGCTGGCGCCATAACCACTGTGCTACAGGTGCTGAGCTCGTACTTTCTTTTCTAATCAGACAAAAAAGTAAGAGAGGAAAGAAGCAGAATGATCAATTTGCTGTCATCTCTGCCAGCAGCACCCAGCCAATCCCCCCAGATTTCTCAGACCCCTTCACTTTAGATCTTCCTTCCACACAGCCTGGCTGTGAAAGTAGCTAAGAAGCTTCTAGATTGTTTCCCTACTGCCTTCGCAAAAGAAAGTTCTCTTTAGACTCTGAGCTGCCTGGGAAAGGGACCATATTTTATTAATTTCTGCATCTTCAGAGTACTTTACACAGTGTGGAAAGTGTGGGCTGAAATAATAGAATACTGTACAGCTGTAAAAAGGAAGCTGTTTTCATTCTGTTACAAAGCGATCCCCAAGAAAAGCTGAGTGGAAAAAGGCCAACTTTAGAACTGTGTATATACTACAGACTACTACCATTTGGGTAAGGAAGGGGAAAGGAATTTTTAATCTCTGGAGGGATGTTTAAGTCCCCAGGAAAGAGAACTGTGTGGCTGGGGAGAAAGGTGTCAGGGAGACTTTTATCCTCTTGTACTTTTAGAACTTTAAACCCTGTAAACATTTTACTGCTAAAAAAAAAAAAAAGTTAATTTAAAAAACATATGGTGAATTTATTTGAAATATCCAGAATAGGCAAAGTCACAGAGACCTAAAGCAGATTTCATGGTAGCCAAGGGCTAAGGGGAGGAGAGATTGGGTGTAACTAATTAACTGGGTATGAAGCTTCCTTTTGGGGTGATAAAAATATTCTGGAACAGGAGAGTGGTGATGGTTACACAAGCCTGTGAATGTACTAGATGCCACTGAATGCACCGAATGCCACTTCAGAATGGCCAAAATGGTGAATTTTATCACAAATTATGCTATATAAATATATATATGTATATCTTTTTGAATTCATGAATAAATGAGTGATATGCCTATTATGTTTACAAATTGCAATGAGGTTTCTTCTGCTTTGTGGATTTTTTTTTTTTTTTAAGAGATGGGGTTGGCCAGGTCTGGTGGTTCCATAGCACTCTGGGAGGCTGAGGCAAGAGAGTCCCTTAAGTTTATGAGTCCAAGCCCAGCCAGAGTGAAACTCTGTCTCTATAAAACAGAAAAAATTAGCTGGGCATTGTGCTGGGCTCCTGTAGTCCTAGCTACTTGGGAGGGTGAAGCAGGAGGATCGCTTGAGCCCAGCCAGGACTTTGAGGTTGTTGTAAGCTGTGATAATGCCACAGCACTCCACCCTATGTGACAGAGTAAGACTCTGTCTCCAAAAAAATTAATTAATCAATTAATTAAAAAAAAAGACAGGGTCTCACTCTGAAGTAGGAAGATCACAGCTCACTGCAGCCTCAAACTCCTGGGCTCAAGTGATCTTCCCACCTTAGCCTCCCAAAGCATTGGAATTACAGGCATGAGCCACTTCACTGCCCTTCTGAAGTTTTTTTTTTTTTTTTTTTTGCAGTTTTTGGCCAGGGCTGGGTTTGAACCTGCCACCTCCAGCATATGGGGCCGGCATCCTACTCCTTTGAGCTACAGGTGCCGTCCCCTTCTGAAGTTTTTTAATGGAAAATACCAAACATATACAAAATCAAATAGCATAATAAACTACCATTTAATCTACTATTTAGCTTTCACAATTAGGAATTCATGGCCAATGTAAAATTTGACTCCATTTATACCTGACCCACTTCTCCATACCTACTGGATTATTTTGTAACAATTGTAGATATTTTAACATGAATCTCTAAAAACTAAAGACTCTTTTATGAAATTTACTTCAATTACCACATATTAAAAAAAACTGTTATTCCTGAGCGGCACCTGTGGCTCAAAGGAGTAGGGTACCAGCTCCATGTACTGGAGGTAGTGGGTTCAAACCCAGCCCCGACCAAAAACTGTAAAAAAAAAAAAAAAAAAATTAATAAAAAAAATTTTTTTAAATTGTTATTCCTTAATACCATTGAAGAACAGTGTTCACATTTCACAGATCACCCCATAAACATCCTTTTAGAGTTAACTTGTTGCCTTGTGGTTTTAAAGAGACTGAACTAATTTTCCCTGAACTGACCTAGCAAATTCATTCTCAGCCATCACGACATCTTGAGGAAGTCAGTTTCTTATCTGAAGAGGACTGAAGTTGGACAAGATGCTCTTAAAGTTCCATTGCTGTTCAAATCTTTTCTGAAGAGTTTCTGAGGAACATCTTCACCTGGCTCTGGCCCATGGTATTGTGTGGCAGTAGAAGTCAGTCATGAAATAGCAGTGAGCCTGCTGAAATCCTAACCTGAGAACTCCCAGTTTATCCCAGGACTCATTAAGAGGAACCTCTCCATTCTTCCTGTTGGCATTAGTATCTTTTTTTTTTTTTGAGACAAGCCTCAAGCTATACCCCTGGGTAGAGTGCTGTGGCATCACAGCTCACAGCAACCTCCAACTCCCGGGCTCAAGCGAGTCTCCTGCCTCAGCCTCCCAAGTAGCTCGGACCACAGGTGCCCGCCACAACGCCTGGCTTATTTTTGGGTTGCAGTTGTCATTGTTGTTTTGGTGGGCCCAGGCTGGATTCGAACCCGCCACCTAAGGTGTATGTGGCTGGCGCCTTAGCCACTTGAGCCATAGGTGGCAAGCAAGGCATTAATATCTTAACATTCCCCTCACCTTTAATAAAATTGTTCTTTTCCTGCAAGAACTTCCTTAGTAAAATTCAGTTTGCATGTTGTCCAGACCAGTATCATAGGTTATAGCCCTCCTAAATGAGTTGGGGACAAAGGGATATGCGTGGACTTCATAGGTTAGAGCTAATTCTTAAAGAAATGGTGATGTTTCACTCATTTTTGCCTCTCCATTTTTTTATTCTGTTTTGTTTTTATAATGTTCTTACTAACCCACATAGCACGTATTTCTATACATCCTGTTACTAGGTTGACTTGATTCTTTTGTTTTTCTCTTTCTCCACATTTTAAAGAATTATCCCCTTCAAACTGGCCAGTTGTCCCAGCCTATAGCTCCATGTTGCCTCCCAGGCATTCCAAGCCCCAGCACAATGGCCCTCTTCAGTTTATTCTTACTCCTTTCATTTCCCTTTCAGTTTTACCAACTCCCAATGCCAAGTTTGCTGTACCCTCTAACATGACCACTAGTGTATCTGCTGGAAAATCAAACCCAGAAATGGGCTGGAGGGCCCACTGCTCTTCAGGAAACAATGCCTCTCTTGCTTAATAATAATAGCTTAATTGTGCCTTTATCTAATCCTTACCACAGCCTTCAAGAGCAGGTACCAATATTGCCCACTTTACACAGGGAACTGGAGGCACAGGGACGTTAGAGAACATGTCTCAAGTTAATAAGTAGGGGATCCTGCATAAAAAAGCCAGCTTGCTCACTCATTCTACTGCTAACTCCCCAGAGTGGTTTTAGCGTTTATAGAGAACACCACCTCAGAGGGGAGACAATCACCTGAGATCAGGTAGAGCTGTTCCTCATAGGTCACATTGGTTCTAGGAAATAGCATCCCTTATTTCAGCATTTCTGAAAATGTTCTCCAGAAAACTACCTAAGTTTTCATTAGTGATAAATTTATCTAATTTAGAACATATATTACATTATATTCCTTTCTTGGAATTTTCTAAGCCTGCACTAAACATATTAAAGGTTCTAAAAACAAAACATGCAGTAAAGAAACTTATTTCACTTTGTTTAGCACAGAATTTCCCAAATCGATGGAGCACAGAACCTTTCCCTTCTGTATAACACTTGTTGACATCCCATGGAACCACTGCTTTATGTAAACTTTGTAAAGATAAACAAGGATTGTTTCAAAAATTGTGTTTTCTGAAACACAAATTTCTAAACAAGGCTTACTGCCTTCATTAAAGGAAGAAGCTTCTGACTCTTTAGCCAAATGGCATTCATCTGCTTCTTTGGCCAAAACCATTTTGAGTCCTCCTACTCTGGGATGGTTGGGGGAGGGGTGGTCATGTCACAGTTGTGCCACATGTAAGCGTCGGGGTCCAATGGAGCAATCCAAATGGGAATGAACCCCCCAGGCTCCATTTGGCTAGCTTCCATCAGAAGGGCCCCAAGGTGAAATTTCA